GAGTTGAAAGACAACCAAAAGCTAAGGAAGGGTTGAATAATAGATTTCATCTCCTATAGGAGTCACTGTTCAAGAATGGAAGAAGTGGCTGTTTTATCTAATGCATAGAAACTAACACAGAGTCAAGACAAATGAAGAAATAGAAAAATATAGTCTAAATGAAAAACAAAATAAAATCTCAGAAAAAGAAGTTAATTAAATGGAGATAAGTGGTTTACCTGACAAAGAGTACAAAATAATGATTATAAGGATGTTCACACCAAGCATGGAAGAAGAAAGGAAAAACAAACTTAAAAATTCAACAAAGATAGAAAATCCAAGAATGTATCAAATAAAAGTTACAAAGCTGAAGAATTAAATAATTGAACTGGAAAATACAATAGAGAAATTTGACAACAGGTTAAATGAAGCAGAAAATGGATCAGTGAACTCAAAAATGGCATTGAAACTCCCACAACCCCATCTTTGGACAAAGAGAGAATCTTAAAATAAAAGGGCACTAATTAGTAATCAGAGCAGTAAAAAGAAAAAAAAAGAATAAGAAAAAAAGAAAATAGCTTAAGAGATTTATGGGAGAAAATATCAGTGTTTCAACATTTGTATTATAGGGGTCCCAGAAGGAGGTGAGGGAGAAAGGGGCAGAAAACTTATTAGAAAAAAATAATGGCTATAAACTTCCATAAGCTTGGGAAGGAAAAAAGACTTCCAGATCCAGGAATCCCAGAGAGTTTCAAAAATATAAACCCAAAGAGACCCATGCCAAGACACATTATAATTAAAGTGACAAAAATTAAATACAAGGAGACAATCTTAAAAGCAGCAAGAGAAAAACAACTTGTTACACACATGGGAAACCCTACAAGACTCTAAGCAGATTTTTTGGAAGAAAGTTTTCATGCCAGAAGTGTGTGAAACAATATATTCAATATGCTGAAAGGAAAAAAAACCTGCCAAACAAAAAAGACTACTCAGGAAAGTTGCCATTCAGAATAGGAGAGTTTTTCAGACAAGCAAAAGCTAAGGGAATTTATCACCACTAGATCAGCTTTACAAGAAATGTTAAAGGGACTTCTTTAAGCTGAAATAAAAGGGCACTAATTAGTAATAGAAAAACATATGAAAGTATACATCTTAATGGTAAAGGTAAAAAGAGAGTAAAATTCAGAATAATCAAATGTTGCAAAGGTGGTAGGTTAATTGCTTATAAAGCTAGTATGAAGGTTAAAAGACAAAAGTAGTGAAAATAGCTATAACTACAATAACTTGAGTGTTACACAAGATAAAGAGATGTAAATTGTGACATCAAAAACATAAAATGTGGTGGGAAAGTAAAAATATGAAGCTTTAGAATGCAAACTTAAGTTGTTAACAACTTAAAATATTGTTATAAATAAGTTGTTTTATGAAAACCTCATGGTAACTATAAAACAAAAACTTACTGTAGATACACAAAGTATATATAGAGAGAAAATCTAAGAGTACTACTACAGAAAATCATAAAATCACAAGAAAAGAGAGCAAGAAAAAAGAAAGGAACAATGGAATTACAAAACAACCAGAAAACAAAGAACACATGGCAATAAGTACATACCTATCAATAATTACTTTATAGGTATATTGGCTAAATTCTCCAATCAAGAGACATAGAGTGACTGGTGGACAAAAACAAAAACAAACATACAAACAAAAAACCCAAGACTCATCTATATGCTGCCTACAAGAGGCTCACTTCAGATGTAAGGACACACACAGAATGAAAGTGAAAGGCTATAAAGAGATAGTTTATGCAAATAGAAACCAAATGAAAGCTGGGTTAGCTATATTTTAATCAGATAAAATAGGCTTTAAGACAAACACTGTAATGAGAGACAAAGAAGGTCATTACATAATGATAAAGGAGTCAATCTAACCTGAAGATATAACATTTGTGAATACTTACACACCCAACATACAACCACCTGAGTATATCAAGCAATTAATAACAAATTTAAGGGAAAAAATAGAGAGCAATGCCATAACAGTAGGGGACTGTAATACTCAACTTTCATCAATGAATAGATCATCCAGACAAAAACCCATAAGAAAACATTGACCTTAAATCACACTTTAAATGATATGAACTTAAAGAATATACACAGAATATTCCATCCAAAAGCAACAAAAAGCACATTCTTACCAGGGGCACGCAGAACATTCTTCAGGATTGATTATTTGTAAGGCCACAAAACAAGTCTTCATAGATTTAAGAAGACTGAAATAATATCAAGCATCTTCTCCAACCACAATTTTATGAAACTATAAATCAATTATGAGAAGAACACTGGGAAATTCACAAATATGTGAAGATTAAATCTCATGCTACTGAGTGACCAATGAGTCAAAGAAGAGATAAAAAATTTTAAATATCTTGAAACAAATAAAAATGGAAACAAACACCAAAACTTAAAAGATGAATTAAAAGTAGTTGCAAGTTCACAGCGATAAATGTCTATATTAAGAAACAAGATATCAAATAAACAATTTAACTTTACACTTCAAGGAACCAGAAAAACATAAATGGAGTCCAAAAGTAGTAGAATGAAGGAAATAAAGATAAGAGCAGAAATAAATGTAATGAAAACTAAACAGACAATGAAATTAAAACTAAGAGCTGTTTTTTCTTTTAAGGAAAAAATTGAGAAAGGTTTACCTAGGTTCACCAAAAAAAGAGAGAAGACTAAAATAAAAATTATAAATAGAAGAGGAAACGTTACAACCAATACAACAAAAATACAAAGGATAAGAGACTACTATGAGCAATTATATGCTAATAAAATTAACTGCCTAGAAGAAATGAATAAATTCCTAGAAATCTACCATCTATCAAGACTGAGTCTTGAAGTAATACAAAACCTGAATAATTCAATTACTAGCAAGGATGCAAGGATATTAAATCAGTATCAAAAGCCTCCCCAACAAATATGCAGAGCCAGATGGATAACAAGTGAATTTTATCAAATACTTAAAGAAAAATTAGTATCGATCCTTCTCAAACTCTTCCAAAAAACAAAAGAAGGAAATACTTCTAAACTTAGTTTACTAAGCTGGTATTACCCTAATACCAAAACCAGACAAGGACACTGCAAGGAAAAAAAAAATTACAGGCCAATATCTCTGATGAACATAGAAGTAAAAATCCTCAACAACAGCAACAACAACAACAAAAATAGCAAATCAAATTTAACAATATGTTAAAAGGATCATACACCAAAATCAAGTAGGATATATACCAAGAATGCAAGGAAAGTTCAACATCCACAAACCAATCACCACATTAAAAAAAGATAAAAATCATATGAAATAGCATTTGACCTAAAGTCATTTATGATTTAAAAAGCTCTCAAAAAATTGGGTATAGTGAAACGTACCCATAATGAAGGCCACATATAACAAGCCCACAGCTGGCTTTATTTTAAATGGTTAAAGGCTGAGAGTTTTTCCTCTAATATTAGGAACAAAACAAGGATGATCACTCTTGCCATTTGTATTGTAAAATAATTTTTAATTTTTATTTATTGATTTTAGAGAGAGGAAGAGAGAAAGAGAAAAATACATTTTGATTTGTTGTTTCACTTATTTATGCATTCATTGGTTGATTCTTGTCTGTACCTTGACCAGGGATTAAACATACAACCTTGGCGTATCAAGAGCTACCTGGCCAGTGCCACTCTTGCAACTTTTATTTAACAAGCTATTGGAAGTCCTAGCCAGAGCAATTAGGCAACAAAGAGAAATGAAAGGAACCCAAATCAGAAAGGAAAAATAAAACTATCACTATTTGCAGATATCATATTATATATAGAAAACCCTAAAGACTCCACCAAAAAGAATGTTAGAACTTATAAATTACTTCAGTCAAGTTACAGGATACAAAATCAATGCATTAAAAAAATATGTACCATTCATGATTTGTGTTATACTTCAAAAATTTTTTACCAAGGAAAAAAATACTGTTCTGTATTTGCTATCTTTCTTGACCTACTAAATTCTGAATGAGGACGGGGCCATATGTATCCTGTTCATTATATGACCTTTGTATCCATTTTTGTCCCTGAAACATAGTAAGTTCTCTATATGAGCTTGTTGGTAAGGTATTGAATAGATAGATGAACAGTTTCCTTTCTAATCTTATTATCAACAAAATATTAAAAGCTATAATCATCTCTCTCAGGTCTTGATTTCTGAAACTTTTCAGGGCAAAATTCATATTTGCTTTGTTACTGTTGATGATCCTCTTCCAGGTATGGTGTCTAGCACATGGTAGATGCTCAATTAGTATTTTTTAAAAAATGAATAGCCCTGACCAGTGTCACTCAATTGGATGGATATCTATCTGCAAAGCGAGGTGTTGCAGGTTCGATTCCTGATCAGGGCACATGCCCAGGTTGCTGGTTCAGTCCCCAGACAGGGCACGTGCAGGAGGCAACTGATCAATATTTGTCTGTCACATTGATGTTTCTCTCCCTCTGTTACTCCCTCTCTCCAAAATTAAATAAAATGTTTTTAAAAATAAATGATTTACCTCCTAAAAAAATCAACACATAAAAATTTGTTGCATTTCTATACACTAATAATAAACTATTGGTAAGAGAAAAAGAAAATTCCTTTTATAATTGCATCGAACAAATAAAATACCTAAGAGTAAATTTAACCAAGAAGGTGAAAGAGCTGTACACTGAACACTATAAGACATCAATGAAAGAAACTGAAGGAGACAAAAATAAACGGAAAGATATTCTGTGAAGATGGAGTAGAATAATTAACATCCAAAGCAATCTACAGATTCAATGCAATTCATATCAAAATTCCAATGGCATTTTTCACAGAAATAAAATAAACAATCCTAAAATTTGAATGGAACTACAAAAGACCTTTAATAGGCAAAGGAATCTTGAGAAAGACAGGGAATCTGAGAACACTTGTAATATAAGGAAAAAAATTACACCATAAATATGTCTTACCATTTGTACTTCAATATCACCTTGTTCTTCAACTTTTATTTCTCCCTCCTGGACTGAGTCACACTCATCTTCCAGTTGTTTGTACTCTTCTTGGAACTCTTTGCCAACTGCTGCTTGTACATTCTTAATATTGTCTTTGACAGAGTGAGATATCGTGGAAGTAGGCACTTGAAATAATTTTGGAACAGAGCGCAGTGGTGTGACATGATCATAATGAGTATGTAGGAGTCGTAAAGCAATGTCACTTGTTGCTAATATCCTTGGAATATCAAATCCAATTTGTATTTCAGTGCACCTGACACTTCTGTACCTGTTAATAATTGTATTTAACAAAAAAATGAGGCCCAGGGAAACACTAGGTCTGTTGCGAATTTATACCTAACTAGTATTTCTTTTCATTTTAATTTCACCACAATTTAGAATATTTCTTTGCAGGATTTGGACCTAGTTGCTAATGTTATCCTTCTCAAAATATGTTTTTGGGATCCATAATCTAATACTCTTCTCCATCACTCCTTCTCTGGTTCCTCTGCATGGCCTTCTTCCTAACCATTCCTTAAATGTTGATATACTCAGCTCCCCATCTCTCTTCTTCTCCTTCTACATAATTTCCTTAGATATTATCTCCATGGCTTCAATTATTATTTAAATTATCAGGAGTTTTGGACATGAGTTCTGTGTTTCCTGGAGTTGGGTAGGGGGAAGAAACATCCTGAATGAACCTGAAGGGGTCCAAAAATGCCCTTATATGTGAGCATATACAATGATTGAAAGTTCAGGAGAGTCTGATGCCCAAAAAGTCAAGAATTACTGATTTATATGATAATGACTCCCAAAATTATATCTCTACTCAGATTTCTCTGGAGTCCTTCAGGGATGCACTTTGATATTTCATATGTACTTCAAACTCAACAAGTCCTTCCCTACAAACCCCTTACCATCACCATCAAAACAGAACAGGTTTTTTTTCCTGCCTCCACTACTCATCATCTTAGTAAAAGAACCATGTAATTCTCTTCTTAGACCTTCGTAGCTAATGCAGAGCTAGTCACTTTACTTTTATTTTTTAAAAATTATACGGATTAATTCTTTTCACTCTCCTGTGTATAACATATTTTATAATAAAAGCTTACATTACTATATTGTCCCTAATTTAGATTTAAACCACAGAATATTTTGTAGCAAATGCAATGTGGAAAATATATTATTCCTTACTTTTACTAAATATCCAAAGTCTAATTTCTTCCATTGTAATATGACTAGTCTTTTCAGAGCTGAGACCAGAACCTCCCAATTTTTTCTTAAAATTTACTGCCATACTAACTCAATTAATTTGAAATATTTAAGATCAAGCAGCAACTAAGTGATCACGAATTTATCATTACCTACTATCATTCCTTAGAAAGCTGTTACTTTATTAAAAATAATTGGAGAAACATCATTTAAACATCTAAAAATAGTAAACATAAAAGTATTATTTTTGGAAAGATTTTTTTACAGTTCACAAAGATAATTTCTTTTTTAAATTTGAGATTGCCATGTAGAAAGTACCCGCCACTTCTACTTTTCCGGGGAGGAAGGTTAAATGGTGAAGAGAAGGGAAAGACCTGATATTTATTCAGCATATGTGTGTACTAGACATCACATTATGACCTTTATATGCATAACTATTTAATCCCCAACTCAATCCTATTAAGTAGTATAATCATTATTAGCCTGTTGATACTCAGAAGCTTAACAAATCTGTATAACTTGCCTAAGGTAAATGGCAGGTCTATGATTCAAAACCCCATTTGGCTGACTTCTTGATGTGGGTTTTTTCAAGGATACCTTGTACCATACTGTCATTCAACAGGCACTCCTGGTGATCATGATATGACTCTAATGGCTTTCGACCTACAACATCACCCATGGGGATACCTTGGATTCTTCTTGAGGTTTGCCCACACATACAGGGTAATATTTTCATCTTGAATGACTTTTTCCATATTTCCAGTGTCCAGATCTGCCAAAGTACTAGCTTGCTATAAGGGAAAAAGAAAATATTATAAAAGATCAGAGGCCTCATAAATTATACAATTTAAATAAGTTAGGGTGTTGGATTCCCTTTACTACTTAAAGAAGTTATTTGGGTAAAAATAAGGTTTACTCAAAATGACAAAGAACTGCTTACAAATTTTCAGAATTACACAAACATATTTACTTAATTAAATGTGCTTCCCCTTTTCCACTTTGTTTCTCTTAAGGTGTCTAAGGATTAAAGTTGCTCCTATATATCCAGCATGTGTAGATTACTATTATGTTACCCTTTTCAATTTTAACATTATAATGACTTTTCATTTTAACTATACACAGGCTCCTTTATCTGTACTTTATTAAGATGTAGATTATGCTACTGCAAGTTTGCCTATTTCTGAACATATCAAGGTTAGAAAACAAAATATCCAGTTTATAAAATCCAACTGAGTTCTATCTTCTAGTCCAATACTTGGTGTCCAACATTAAACATACAATTTAAGGATGTTCTTAAAATTTTTTAAATAAAGACTAACATAGCTTGGTGTCTATTGCTCAAGAAATTAGATCTCTTAAAGAGCTTAAATAAAAGTGAGGAAATACGTATTTGGTTGTTACAATGTAAAAACTTAAAAGGGGATTTATTGCTTTTTTTTTTAAAGTAACTGTTGCCCACTCCTACTTCTTTTTTCCTGTGAAATTAATTTTGTGTAGTGTCCAGGATAATTACTCTGTAGAATTGTTCCACATTGTGGATTTATCTGATTGTTTCCTCACTGTATCATTTAACTTGCTCCTCTATCTCATTTTTCATGCACTGGGTTTAGGTAGGTTTAATTAGATTCAGATAAATCATTTTTAGCAAGAAGGCATCGTAGATTTTGTTGTGTTCTTCATATTACAACCCTCCAGGTATATTTTGTCCCATTATTAATTATGTGGATTTCATCACTTAGTTAAGGTGATGACTACCCACAACTCCATATTGCAAACAACGTTTTTCCAATCTGTAAGTAATTAGTAAGTAATACTTTGGCACTTTTCACCTAATTATTTAGGTGGTCATTGATGATCCTTATCAATTATTACATTAGAGATTGAAAAATGGTGATTTTTTTTTAACTGCCCATTCTTCCTACATTTATCAGCTAGCATTCTCCTGTGATTCTCCCCACTCCCCACTCCTCTTTCCTTCCTTCCTTTTTGGAGTATCACTATTGACTCATGGATTTTTATTTATTCAATGTGTTATAATGTATTATAGTCATTATCCTTTCTGATACTCATATTGTCCCAATTTTGACTACTGGGAGACTCTTTAAGGTAGTCTTGTCCCTTAGGATGTGACTCCCTTAGACTTGGAGCATGTGTGTGCTTTCTAGCACAAGAAGACTAAACCTCATCCTTCAATAGCAAACTTATCTTTCACTTACCCTTCCCCAGACCTGGAATCAGCCACTTACCCCAATTATACCTGGCTCCTTTTTATGGAATTAAGAGAAATATAGTTCACACTGATATTTCCATTTTAAATATAACATTACAGCAATTTTTAGGCTTTTATCTTACTGTATTTTTTATCTTACAATAAAAATCTTGATTAATAATTATAACATATTTCCTTGCCTGCTTTATCTTAACTCTAAATAAAATAGTTGCAAAATTATAATATATTATTGATAATAATAAACTTAATGAAGTTTAAGCCTTTTTTGCCTTTTTTTTAGTAATTACAACATATTCTACCAAGGCTATAACAAGGCTAGGACTGTTTTCTAGACCAAAAGAAAATGAGTCAAAATAGCCAAAAGTAATATGTGACCTTAGATTGTTTTCTGATTAAAAAATAAAAATAAAACAAAAACAGCTATACATGATATCCATAGGATATTAGGGAAAACTTAAATATGGACTGTATATTATGATATATTATAGAATTTTAATTAATTTTCTTAGGTGTAATAATGGTTTATGGTTATTTAGATATTATCATTAGTGCTAAGATACTTGGAAAAATAGAGTGACTACAATAATTGTAATCCTGTATCAACTAACTTATCTAGAATGACTATCTAATATATAATGTTTTGTGAATTTATTTTCATAATGATCCTGGTAAACCTTGGCAAGTATAATTTAAAAAATTAGATTTTAGTCATATAGATGTTTTATTTCTTTAAAAATAAAATATTTAAAATAGTTTAATATGGATAGATATATGTGCCTTAAATTATGCCACTTTTTTATAACCTTTTACTTATTGGAAAAAAGATACTGAATTTTTAAAATTATATAACATAAAATTTTAACTCTCATAAAAGTTAATAATAACATATAAACAAAATACCACACTTACTCGAAGTAGTAGTTCAGTGGCTGTGTTAAACTTTAGGTGAAGGAGCTCCTGCAGTTCAAGAATTGATCCTTGGTACTGTGCTATATTTTTATCTTGTAAATTATATGGTGAAGTTTCCAGTAAAATTAATTTCAACTTATCAATTAACTATAAAGCAAAAGTATAAAGTAAAAATTTACTCTAAAAGCAAACCAAATCTGACAAATAAACAAAGAAAAGGTAAAAAGGGGATATTCTAACATTTTTGAATCACAGAACACACCTTATTGTCAGTAAAATAAATACCAGAAAGGATTTTTATATAATTTAAGAGCATAGAAAAATAGAATATTTCCTCCCAACATACCATTATAAAAATTTTCAACCGTGTGTAACAGAGCTTTGATTACCTAAGGCTGTGGAGCAATAGGAAGAACAACAATATGAGAATAATGAGAAAGAGAATAGGAAAATTACTAATATTTACTAAATACTTACTATGTGCTGGGAACCATTCTAAATGCTTTATATATTTTAATTCATACAATCCTCATCATAACTCTATGAGGTAAAGAGTGTTATTGTACTTATTTTATAGATGAGCAGACAGGAATGCCTGGTTTCACCTGTAAGAATCTTGGAAGATGCCATTCTGTCCTAACAAGTAAAAAGATGAACAGACTGAAAAGTCAGTGGCTGTTTGTCCAGGAAGCGCGGGGTGGAGAGACCCACAGGTGAACGCGGGGAGCCGTGGCTTACCAGCACAAACTCAGGGGCAGAAGCCAGGGTAGGAACCAGTGCCAGGCAGGAACACCTGAGCAGTAAATGACGAACTACTGGCAGCTCAGTGTGGACACTTCTGAGAGTTAAAAAAAAAACACTCCAGAAGGACACAGCCATGGCAGCGGGAGGGCCCACAATACTGTGACATTTACCAACAGAGTCTTGATTAGGTTCACACAATAAATGTGGGAGAAAAATCCTCTCACGCTTTTGGCCGTCAAAGGGGAAAGAGAACCATTCTGAAATATTCCAGAGCATTCGTTCTTCTTAATAAGGCCTCGTCTCAGGACACTAATTAACCAGAGCCTAATTCACCTGGGAGAAGGGTGCATCCTACTCCAGCTGGCTCTAGTCATCCCCTCCCACTGAACAGGGGATAAGAAAATTAAGAACACCTGTGCCGTTCATCTCCCGGGGGCACAGGGTTACCAAAAGACTGGGACCCAACCACAGGACTATACAGAGTCTGGCAGAAGTAACGCCTGCTTGAGTGTGGTTGGTAGGATAATAACATGGGTGTAATCATGTATAGTTTTAATTTGAATATTTCACCTAAAATGTCATAGGGTGTGCTTGAGTGTGATATTGTTATGTTACAGAATTACATGCTTATAATTTTGTGATAAAAGATTGTGTAATAAAAAGGGGGTGTTATCTGACCCTGGAGAACTCTTCCCCTGCCCCTATCCTACCTCACCAACACATAACTAAAGGCCTATTGCAAAAATTCCTTTTACCCAGTACATCACGTCCAGCTATCAAGAAAAGATCTCTAGGTATACCAAAAGACAAAAAAACACAACTTGAAGAGACAAGGCAGGGATGTTGAAATTATCAGGCTGGGGATTTAAAATAACTACATTTAATATTCTAAGTGTCCTAATGGATAAATTAGACAGCATGCAGGAACAGATGGATAACATAAAGGGATAGATGGAAATCCTAAGAAAGAACCAAAAAAAAATGCTAGAGATCAAAATCAATGTGACAGATATGAAGAATGCCTTTGAAGGGCTCCTTAATATACTTCACTCAGCTGAGGAAAGACTCTGAGCTAGAGGACATATCAATAGAATCTCAGAAAACCAAAAAGCAAAGGGAGTGAAGACTGAGACAAAAACAGAACAGAATATCCAAGGACTAGGGGACCATGACTAAGGTAGCTTCCACATAATGGGGATACTAGAAGGAGGAAAATAGAAAGGAACAGAAGAAATATTGGAAATAATAATGACTAAGAATTTCATGAAATTAATGATAGAGGCCAAACCACAGATCCACAAAGCTCAGAGAACACCAAGGAGGATAAATGTTTCCCTTACCAAAAAAAAAAAAAAAAAAAAAAAAAAGCAAGCTACACTTAGACAAATCATTTTCAAAATATAGAAAATCAAATATAAATTTTAAAATCCTGATGGAAGCTAGAGGGGAAAAAAAAAACACTTTACCTTTAAATGAACAAAGAATTACATCGAACTGCTCAGAAACCATGCAAGCAAAAAAGAAAATGGAGAGATAATTAAAGTGTTGGGTGAAACTATCACACAGCACAATCAAGGAACAACTGGTAAGTGGCAGAATTTAGGTTGGAAAACTGACACAGATAATAAATAGAAAACTTCTAAATTAAGAGGGTCAACATAGTAGTGGAGAATAGTATGGACTCCAGCCCAATGCTGGGCTTCAGTTCTAGCCACCTCTAACTATCAGTGTGATCCTAGACAAGTTATTTAACATCTCTGTGCCTCGACTTCTTCATTTATAACATGGGAATAATGGTGCCTTCTTCAAAAGATTATTATGAAAATTCAGCAAGTTACTATTGTATTTCTAATGGCTGGCATACTAAGTATTATCTAAGTGTTTGTCAAATAAATGAATTTTATAATCTGGAACTTGATGCTTACCAGGGCATCACTGCTATCCAATCATTTCTGTTCCTCTTGTGGTTTCCTGCTTTAGTTTCCTATTGCTATGATTCCTCTCCTCTTCTGTCTCCTGTTTTGTTTTACTTACCATTTTTCATCTTCCCTACTATTTATTACTTATAATTCTGTACTCCACATTCATAACAGAAAGATACCACTTTGTGCTCATCACTGGCGAGCTCCAGTGCATCCTCCCACTGCCTCCCTGCTAATAGCAGAGCACCAGATTCCTGGCCCAGCATCATGCTATGGCAGCCGCCCTGGACCATGTGCGATGGCAAGAACACCGTATGATGAATCCACTGGTGTACAATACCTCACAATGTGTGGGAGGCTCTCTGGAGCCTCTTGAAAGAGTAAGGCCCATCTAGGTCTCATAGGGGACTCTAAGCAAGCCGCAATCCACATTTTTCACATGTAAAAAAACCTCATCTGCGTGTTTTCCAGATTACATTAGGCAATGCTTGTTATGTGTTTCCCAGAGTCCGGAGGTACTTGATTTCACAACAGCATGGAGAAGAGTTAAACCACAGTTACAACAAGCACAAAAATATAGTGAGGAATTAGAACAAAAATTATAAGGGAGGACTCCTGGTCAAGATGGCAGCATAGGTAGACATGGCTCGCCTCTTCGCACAAACACATCAAAATTGCAACTAAAATATAGAACAACCGTCACTCAGAGCCATCAGAAATCAAGTTGAATGGAAGTCTGACAACTATGGAATCAAAGAAACCATATCAGTCCAGACTGATAGGAGGGGTGCACATGGAATGGGCTGGTCCTTCACCCACAAGTAGTGGATAGAAATTCAGGAGGGACATCCTGAGAGTAAGGAGTCCCAGCCTCATACCAGGCCCTGGTGCCCAGGGTTTCAGTGCCAGGAAGATAATTCCCCACAACTTCTGGCTGCAAAAACCAGCAGGGACTGAGTCAGTGGAAGAAATTTCTGGAGTCCCAAGCAGTTTGTTTTTAAAGAAGCCACACATGGACTCACCTACTCAGACACACTCCCTCTGAGCTCCAGCATCAGGGTAGCAGCTCGAAAGGCACCCATGGTATACAGGAAGAAACTGAAATGTCTGGCATCAAGGCAAGCAGAGGCCATTGTCCCTTTTCTAAACCCTCCCCTTACAAAGCTGGCAAACTGATACCATTTCTGAGACTCCATCAACCTGGCTAACAATGTAAGACCCGCCTTGGAGATCCCCAGAGATTTCTCCCCACTCCACTTACTGGCCACCCAAGGTACTTTTTGATATGAATGGCTGGTCTTGGCTCATGCTTCACAACTTCCTAAATCCTCTGAAATAAGCTGGCCTCAGTCAGCCCCAGGCCCCGCATTAGCAACAGCTAGCCTATATTCACAACTTGGCTTCATCTGGAAATCTCCAAGCCCAGCACAAGTAGCAGCTGTCTCAGATTATTTTATAGCTCAGGCAGGTTGCCCTGGGCAAAAAACAAAGATGGGGACTGACTTTAGCCTATACCACCTGGGAAACCCCAGGGCCAGCACACCCAGTGGACAGCTACAGCCCATGTTAGAGCACCATCAACCTACCTCTGCACAGCTGATCCTCTAAAGAGGGTGGAGGTTGGGGGTAAGTGGTCACGGCCTGTCCGTGCAGCTGACTGCTCTGGGAAAATCCCTCCCATTGACCTTCCAACAGCAACCAGGGTTCAACTACAAAAAGGGTGTACTCATCCCACACAAAGGGCACAACTTGAATATCCAGCTTGGGTCATAGGAGAGTCTGTGCCACTAGAACCTACAGGACACCTACTACATTAGGCCACACTACTAAGACAGAGTCAAAGCAGTTCTATATAATATATAGAAACAAATACAGAGAGGCTGCCACAACAAGGAGACAAAGAAACATGGCCCAAATGAAAGAACAGATCAAAACTCCAGAAAAAGAGATTAACAAAATGGAGATATGCAATCTCTCTGATGCACAGTGAAAACACTGGTTATAAGGATGCTCAAGGAACTTAGTGAGGGCCTCAACAGCCTAAGAAAGATCCATTCAGAAACAAAGGATACTGTAATTGAAATAAAGAACAATTTACAGGGAAACAACAGCAGAGTGGATGAAGCCAAGAATCAAATCAATGATATGGAACATAAGGAAGCAAAAAACAATCAATCCTAACAACAAGAAAAAAGAATCCAAAAAAAATGAGGATAGCATAAGCAGCCTCTGGGATAACTTCAAGAGGTCCAACATTCACCTCATAGGGGTGCCAGAAGGAGAAGAGATAGAGCAAGAAATTGGAAATCTATTTGAAAAAATAATGAAAGTGCCCTGGCTGGTGTGGCTCAGTGGATTAAGTGCCGACCTGCAAATCAAAGGGTCGCTGGTTTGATTCCTAGTCAGGGCACATGCCTGGGTTGCAGGCCAAGTCCCCAGTATGAGGCGTTCAAGAGGCAACCACACATTGATGTTTCTTTCCCTTTCTTTCTCCCTACCTTCCCCTCTCTAAAAGTAAATAATAAAATAGTTAAAATTTAAAAAAATTAATTAAAAAAATGAAAGAAAACTCCCCTAATTTGGCGAAGGTAATGGACATGCAAGTCCAAGAAGCACTGAGAGTCCCAAATAAGATAGATACAAAGAGGCCAACTCCAAGGCACATCATAATTAAAATGCCAAAAGTTAAAGATAAAGAGAGAATCTTAAAAACAGCAAGAGAAAAGAAGTTAGTTACCTACAGGGGAGTTCCTGTAAGACCTTAAGCTGGTTTCTCAAACAAAACTTTGCAGGCTAGAAGGTGTTGGCAAATGTTCAAAGTGATGAAAAGCAGGGACCTACAGCCAAGGTTGCTCTACCCAGCAAAGCTATCATTTAGAATCGAAGGGTAGATGAAGAGCTTCCCAGTCAAGGAAAAACTAAAGGACTTCATCATCACCAAACCATTATTATATGAAATGTTAAAGGGACTTATTTAAGAAAAATAAGAAGATCAACACTATGAACAAAAAAATGACAAAAAATACAAATCTATCAACAGCTGAATCTAAAAAACAAACTAAGCAAACAAGAACAGAAACAGGATCATGGGTACAAAGAGTGTTTTGATGGTTGCCAGATGGGAGGGGGTGTAGGGGAACGGGTGAAGAGGTGAGGGGATTAAGAAATACAAATAGGTAGGTACAGAATAGCCAGGGGGGTGTAAAGTACAGCATAAGAACTGGAGCAGCCAAAGAACTTACACAAATGACCCGGGGACATGAACAACGGTGGGGGGACTGCCTGACGGAGTGAGGAGTGTTGGGTGGTAGGGGTACAAAGGGGGAAAATCAGGACAACTGGAATAGCATAATCAATAAAATTAACTTTTTAAAAATCATAAAGGATAACAAGACCAAGAAAATTACATTACTTTTACTGTCTAATATTATGAGGTGTGTATAAGTGTGGATTTCTTTCTATTATCATCACTTGGCATTTGTTGTATTTCATGAATGAGAGTGTTCATATCTTTCTTCAATTCTGAAAAATCACCGACCATATCTGTTTGACTTCTTTCTCTCCCTCATACTTCTGGAAGTCCTTTTCAATCAATTTTTAGTCCTTCTTCCTCTATCATTCATATATGTTAACTGCTCTTTTACATTTTCATCCCTCTATCTCTGTTTTCTGTGTTCTGGTAAATTCATCCAATACAACTTGTGATTCCCTCCTGATTGAGAATTCTCACTAGAAACATTTTTGTTTTCCCTTTATTAAGCTAAAGATGAGCCAAACAAGTTCCTATCACCTCCCTTTGCAGAGGAGGTTTCCCCCTACTAGCCACATGACCTTCGTGAGGCTCCCAGCAATGTCGGTGGGGGGGGGCTCTGATCCATTTGTCACCTTCCATGTAACCTCAGCTCTGCCCCTGATGGCCCTTTAAACCAAACCTAAGCCACCAGGGGTTAACAGACACTTTCTGGGAAGCCACTGACTCCATACTTGCCCACTTTTCTAAATTGTTTTATGAACTCCAAGATTTTCCCTTACTTTCTTTTATACTAGGCAATGGACTTAAGTGTCATTTAAATTTTTTTTTCTAGCATTTTTAAGTGCATTGTAAAGTGGTAGCCCCTTAGGCTAGTCTATCCACCCTATTTGCAGAAATAGAACATAGGATATTCTTATTCATCTTTGTACTTTCACTGCCTGAACGAGTAGGTTCCTGGCACATAGGTAACAATAAAAACATGTACTGCATCAATGAATAATGAATAAGGCAGCTGAGGAGAAAACTATGTACTTTCTCCCTCAGTTATTTACATAAATGGAGGCAACTTAATTTTTTTGCTTGACTCAGACACACATACAGTTAATATTTCACACTTATGTTATGTAGACCTCATCTAAAGTATCAAGAGGTTCTTAGGAGTGAAAGAAAAAAAGATTAGCAAGTATTTTTCTCTATAGCCATGGAAACAACAGTCTTATTAATTGGCAAATGTCATTTATTTATTTCTATTTTTGAAATCAATTTGTAACTTAAATAATTTTAAATTATGGAATAACACCTAGGTACTTACATGCAGCACTAGTTTACTCTTTGCAATTACTTCCTCAAAAATCTCATTTGTTTCCTCTTTCCATAAGCTAATGAAAGTATTGATTTCTTGAGATATTGATGGATCAGGACTCCCATCACATTGAATGTAGTGCTTCCACTGTAGAATAAAAATATTTAAAGGTTCACACTAATGAAAATTCAACCAGAGATTAAATTACTTCTTTTTTAAGTATGAGTTCTCATAACCTAGTTTTACCAATTTAGGCAGAAATATGTTATGACTAACTAGTTACTTGAGTTATCTCTAAAATAACCAAATTCCACCTCACCAAAATAGTTTGTAAGTCTCAATAATTCAAATAAATACAAATTTATTGTCATTTAATTTTTAAAACAGTGTATGAGTCGGTTTTGTTTTGCTTTCCTCTCTAATCATATAGCTTCTACATTTACAAAAGCCAACACTTGGGCTAATTTCTACTCTCAAATTGTTACTAATTGTTAATCACCATGGGCATTTTAGTATGAGCCCCTCCATTCATTTTGTAATCTGTGCAAATTCTACATTTGTTTTTTTTTTTGTTTTTTTTTTTTAATTAATTTATTTACTTTTTAAATACATTTGTCTCTGCCTTCCCGCCCCTCTTTCCCTTGCCCCCTCCCACCTTCCCTCCCTCAGCTCTTCCCCTTTGGTTTTGTCCATGAGTCCTTGCTATATGTTCCTTGACTTTCCCCTTCCCTTCCCTTTCCCTGCCCCCCCTTCCCTCTTGTCTCTGTTGATTTCTTTTCCTTTCGGTGTTGCTGGTCATATTTGCCTTGCTTCTTTGCATTGTTGGTTAGGTTCCGCTTATAGGTGAGATCATATGGTATTTGTCTTTCGCCCCCTGGCTTACATTTGTAATCACACTGCACTTACATTTTTTTGCTTAAAATTATAGCATAATCATCTTTTGTCATATTATTACAGTTTTTCCTTTTTCTCCTGATCTAAACGTACACAGTTTGGGGCAACACTAGATTGCCTTAAACTCAAAATTTTTATTTTATAATTTAGGATAATTTCCTCAATAAAGATTCCAAAAATTAATTGAGTCAAAGAAAATAAATATTTCAAGGATCTTTTTATTGACAAATAGTTTTCTACAAGGCTAGATGAATTTACTTTACTACAAGCAATCTGTCAGATTAGAGATTTTTTTATAGACAGCTTTCAGGTTTCTTGGGACTAAAAAGGATAGCAGACTATAACTCCCTCTTGTGGTACAAATGTATTAGCTAAAAAAAGAAAAGAAAAGAAAAGAAAATCAGTCTTACCTGAGAAAGCAATCTATTATCTCTTTTCAGTTTCTCTGCTTCAGAAAAGCACCCCTCTAATAAATAAAGTTCCTGAAGTTCTTCATTTTTCCTGTCTAGATCCTGTCGCATGAGGATACATTGATTTATTCCTTAATTTCAGCTTTGTGTTTCACAGTAGCATTGAAAATTTACTTGGCAAAGTATTTAGTTTCAGAATGAATACTAAAAGTAGTTTGAATGTAACCGATATTTCTAAAAGGTTTCATCTGAAACAGTGATTTACAAAATGTGGTCTGCACACTCATGGTGTATCCCCCAAGACATTTTTGGCATCTGTGAAGTCAAATATATTTTCACAATAATACTAAGACTTTGTCTTTTTCGCTGTGTACACATTTGCACTGATGGTGCAAGATGGTGTAAAACTGTGGGTGACAGTATTAATCAAGGCACAAACTATACTAGTGGCCATACTCTTCAGGGTGGAGGGGTAGTAAACAGCCAGTATCATGTAAGAATGACCTGATGAAACAGTAAAAATTATTAATTCTATAAAATATCAACCTTTAAGTGTGTATGTCTTTTTAATATCCTGTGTGATAAAATGGGAAGTATGCATAAAGCATGTCTGCTGCATATCAACAGACAGCACTGTCTTGAGATATAAAAACTTTTGCAATTATTTGAGTATTTTGGCAGACATTCTATCAAAAATAAATGAATTGAGCATGTCACTTCCAGGAAACAATTTAAAGGATTTGTTGCCAATGATAAAATTCAAGCTTTCAAATAATTTCCAAATCTCAGAAAACTTCTATCTACCACTGTGCGCTTGAGAGTTTCCCATCCTTAAGAAATTTTCTAATTTTATTGTAGATGATATTAATGCTTGTGGGGTTTTTTTGATAATGGATAATAAATATGTGTCAACATTTGGAAGCAAATAATTCAGTGAACATAATTTTTCCAAGCAAGCGATACATGATACTGCAAAATCATGCATGGAAAACAGTCTATTCAAAGTGTAAGATAGGTCAATGTTTTAGTGTAATAGAGTATGAAAAGTTCATTGATATGGTTTCAGATTCCACATTAAGAAATTACCACTTGCTGATTTTTGGTACAGTAATAAAAAATATCCACAATTATCTGAAAGGCTAACACAATATCCCTCCTTTTTCTAGCTATGTATCTGTGTGAGGCCAGATTTTCTTCATATACTCCAATAAAAAAATACAGATTGTAATGGAATACTAAGTAGATATAAGAATCCAGTTGTCTTCTGTTAAGTCAGACATTAAAGAGATTTTCAAAATATAAGCAATGCCACTCATTTCCCTCATTTTGTTATATAAAACAAAATCTATAACATGTGGTCATGGATGTTAACTAGACTTATTGTGGTGATTATTTCACAATATATACAAATATTAAATCATTATGCTGCACACCTGAAACTAATACATCAATTGTAGCTACATAATACACATTATATATATAATTAGATATAGCTGTTTTCTTATAAACATGTTAATATGTATTTATTTATTCTTATTTAAGTTTATTTTTAACAATGTTTAAGTCTATTAATATAATGTATTTTTAATTTCTTAGTTTTAATTTCTAGTATGTAAATATTAATAGATATAACCCACATAAACAAAAGCTCCTTGGTGGAGGGTCTTCAATATTTAAGAGTAATGAGGTTTTTTCCCTGAGATCAAAATATTTCAGAACTACTGATCTGAAAATTTCTAGTGAAAAAGAGAAGTGAAACAAAAAAAGGAGAGGTAGAATTTAAATATATTTTTCCTTTTGGTCCCTGTTTAATTATCTATAAAACAGATTGAGAATAATACATTAATATTTACAAGCATGGGCTCAAATGCAAGGCTACTTATATCTAGGTCCTGGCCCCAGCCAGCTTGACTTCTCTATTCCTCAATTTCCTTATCTGTGAAATATGGATGATAATGTCATTCATTTTATGGTAGGATTAAGTGAGCTAAGCCAGTTCATACAGGCTTAACTATTACTAGTAGCTTCTGGAGGAGAAGGACATTAAATAGCCTAATGGATCTGGTAGTCATATAGTTTAAGTCTTCATTAGTAACACCATTAATGTTTATTTACTTTTGCTTCAAGTTGTTGCCATTTTTCTTTCTGAACTCGTTCCATTTCAAGTCTTTCCATTTCTTCTTTTTCATGTTTCATACGGGCTTCCTCTAAAGAACAAAAGAAAAATTTTTTTCACAGTGATAAAATCAGTCTATTTTTAAGCCATTAAAGTCACTTCAAACATTTGCAAGATGTAATGGTGGTGATATATTTTATAGAAGTCACAACCTTTACTATGCAGCAGAACTAAGACAACTGCTAGATTTCTTTTAAAAAAGTGACGTGACTAAACTTTAAGGCCCTCCCCAAAAAATAGGCCCATAATGATATTTCTCTTCTCTCCAAAGTTTATAATGATTCAATAATGATTTTAGCCAATAAAAAAAATCACAAATCTATCATGGGTAATTAAGGGGAGGTAACATTGTCATGAGATTTCCATAACCTTGTGATATCTACATCATCAAAGCAATAACCTTAATCTTCTCTTGCTTTCACTACCAAAAAGAAAATGTGATACATATGTTGAAGAATATGGGTTTAAAACAATATCATAAAACATTCCCCGAGATCTAGATCCTGACAGTCTATTCTTATCATGAGTCATTTATAGAGGATTTATATGATTATACATAAAAAAATCAGCATGAAACCTGAAAACAGACTTTTAAGACCTGAATCTTAATCCACAGATGGTCTTAATGTTCAAAGCTACAGCCACTTGAAATATTCAGATTTTTAAAATAATTTTGGTGTTTTAAATAACCAATATTTTTATTAATTTTAATTGATATTTTTAACACATGAAAGTCCTCTTTACATTTGGCAAATATATGTTATTAAACTATAAAAATCTAGGCAGCCATGTGTATTTCTTGCTAGTCTGTATTTCCCTTATTTAATGAATTTGAGTTTCAGAATTCTCACTGCATAATCAGCACCAATGCCTCTATTTCATCAGTACATATGAACTGCTTCAAGTAGGATTGCCAGAATTAACATAAAAATAAAGAATGCTCAGTTGACTTTGAATTTCAGAAAAATAATGATAATTTTTTTTTTGTTTAAGTATGTCTCAAATATTGCACGGGGAAAATTATGTCAAGTTATCCATAGTTTACCTGAAATTCAAATTCAACCAGGCATCCTGTACTTTATCTGGCATCTCTACTTCAAGATATATCTGAAAGTGATTTGTATTAACTACCAACTTTCTGGGTACCCTTTAAATATTAGGTACCTATCATAAAAAATGAAATTTGAAAAATTAAAGAATTTTGAAAATTCTTTTTTTTATTGTTGTTCAAGTACACTTGTCTCCATTTTCCTGCCACCGCTTTGCCCCTCCCCACCCACCCTCACTTGCCACTCTCAGTCCTTTATCAAGGAACATGTATAAAGGACTCAAGGACAAAGCCCAAGGGAGGAAGGATTGAAAATTCTTTTAAAATATATTGACTGGAGTTACCAGTTGATGGTTGGTATCTCCTACATGTAAAAATAGCACCACTGTGTACTTTGTACCTTCCTCTTTTTGTCGTCTCTCCTCCTCCTCTTGTAGCTTCTTCAATCGTTCAGCTTTGCTGAGTCTCTTTTTCTTATTGCCAGACTTAACAAAGGCAACAACATATAAATGAAAAGGCTACTAACCCAAATAACTTAAAAATACATATCCCTCAAACAGAATTAGGAAAAATATCTCCACGAATCCCATTTTTCACTCATTCACATAACACTGCCTATTATGTGCAAAGCCTTGACTCAGTGCCTTCAGGGCAAAGTATGGAAGCAATTAATAAAAATAAGCATATAAATCATTCAGCACCAAGAGTAACAGTGACAAACATATACAATTTAAGTAAATCTCTTATCCCCAGTTTTAACATCTTTAAAATGGTGCTAAATGGAACCTTGTTTCACTGTTGTAAAGATTAAAAGAAAATATATATAAAAACAGTCTTAACACTGCAACGTGTCTATTAAAGGAATTTGTATGGCTAACAGATATACAGAGAATTATTTTACAAGTTTGGAGGAAGAAGAGATTATTTTCAATAGCTGGGATAAAGTAAAATTGTACAGAGCAGTACAGTACTCAAGTCTGTGGCCCCCAAATTTTAACATTCAGATATGAGGGGAAGATATCCCCCAAAGAGGGAGATGCAGGCAGAAGGTACAGAGTTCAGAGAGCGCTGGAGAGGCCAAATGCCACGGGCCCTGGGAAGGCTCCAAGAGGAGATGAAGTGGAAATGAGAATGGAAAAGACAACTGGAACCTATGCTATAGAGTTTGGACATTAATCTAAAAGAAATGGAAACCCCCTAAGTGTTTTTGAGAAGAGCTATGTTTATTAAGAATATAATTTTGAAAACCTGGTATTAGGGAAAAGGATGATTATAAAGAGGGTATAATTTTGGTCACTATTAAAAATAGTTAACTAAAGTCATGACCCTAAATGCAGATAGGAGAATGGATCCAATAACTATTTTATCAATTAAATTATCTGATAATCATTAGAGACAAGAGAGGAAGGATTCAAAGAAAAGTTAAAAAAAAAAAAGAATGGTAGTCCATAACACGTAAATTTGTAAGACAAATTCTTTAAAGGAGTTTAAATATAATTAATATGAAGTTCTGGAGTATCCAGGAAATGCTGCAGGCATTAAAATTGGGAAACTGAGGTTTAGCAAAGAGATCAGGGCTAGAGCATACAGATCTGAGGACTATCGTGGTGACAGCCACCTCCTCTCCACTTTCCTGGAGGGAAGATTACATAAAGAAAGACCATCATCTAAACTGAGGAATCAAGAGTGATTGACCCTTGGGATATCTGCTCTGGATGACCATCTTCAATTTTTGGCTCACTTACTGCAGGATGGTCCACTGGAACCTGCAACCCATTAGCCCTACCACTTTTCCACTGTTCATCAACTGTTTTCACAGTTGGTTGGTCCCTCACCATTATCACTAACCATATAACTTCACCTCTCCTATTTTCCTCTCCCTCTGAGAAGCTCAGCTAGAGAATTCCTAGTTCTAGTTAAATTCAACTCTCCATTATTCTGTGCTGGCAAGAAGAGCAGCTGAACCATGCCAGAAAAAAATGCATAGCTCAAATTTTTGAGCACAATTTTAACTAGGCTCTAAACACTATCCTTTCTCTTACTACTATTTCATTGTCCTCAGTCTTCAAACCTCCAAAATCCTCTGCTCTTTCCTTCTCTCAGCTATTGATCTCACCTTTTGTATTACTAGAAACTTTGAAAAGAAAGCAATCTCTTTGCACAGCGGATCTTAGAACCAACATATCTTTAGGCCTGTCTTCCCTCCCTTTACAGTGGGTGAAATGTATGGACCTGGCTCTTATAACTAACACCTTTAGTTATTCATAAATTTCTCCCTCCTGAGATTTCACATCCTCCCCATCATTGGCTCCAATTCTGTTACCCTTCATGTCAAATGACCTAAAAAGAGTTGTTTCTGCTTTTGTTTCCCCATTTTCTGCATGGCCCACTCAGGCTTTCATTTCTATCACTTCATTAAAACCTCTCCTGTCAAGGATCTTCACAGACGGCTATGTTTCCAACGCCAATGGTCAGCTGTCAGCCTTCATTTTACTCATCTGCCATCAACATTTTACAAAGTTTTCTTCCTCCTTCTTGAAATAATTTCTTCATTTGGCCTTTAGGTTAGAACTGTCTGATTTAGCTTCTTCTCTCATAGGTCCCTCCTTCTCAGACATCTTTTCTGGCTTCTCCTCCTCAGCTGTAGTTGATCAGTAACTTTTAAAATCATTTGTTTATATATTCCCTAAAACAATTTTGGAAAACTATGTACCCCTTTACACATTTTTAAGTTGGCATTGAAAACTTTTCATCACAAACTTAAAAGCTGCAAATATTTCCAATATATGACATAACTGTTATACCACTCATTTAAATATATCAATCACTGATGAAAATATATACAATGGAATCTATATTCCATGGTGATCTGATGGCCAATATCATTAATTTAAAAAAAATATGAACAAGCTTTTCTTTAGTAAAAATTTAATCCTTTTTCTCCTTAAACTTATATTTCCATTCCCCAACAGAATCTTATCCTAATGCAATATACTGGAAAACTTTTGTTGAACCTGCATATTTATCTATTATAAAAATAGGTATAAAATTTTTAAAAGTTTATTCCCTTGTTTCTAAGTAATAAAAATGTTGTTCTGGACTGACCTAATCTTAAACATTTTTTCAGTACACAGTTAAACAAAGCAACATATTATATTACAAATTTTGATGAATATTATCATGAGAAGTAAAATTTTACTGGATATAGCTCTCTTGATGAGATGGCTGGGCTTTTTTCCTTTTCTTGTTAGCTCATGACCCATGGATAATTGTTAGTTATTGCTAAATAAAACAAGAATTCAGACAAATTTTATTTTAATTTTCACAAATATAAGAAATGAGAAATCCAGTATACATTAAAAAGCCACTGTAGATGGGGATTGGTTTGTTATAGCTATATCATTAGTTCTTTGAATTCTTTCTACATCACATGCCAAAAATTACATTGATTTACCAAAATAGTCACCCCTAGAGATAATCAGTAGCATTTTTGATGCTACTTGTTTTTCTTTAAAGTTTTATTGCATATGTATGAATTCCTAATCAATACAGTTTGCTTATTTTTGTACTTCACGTAAATCCAACTATACATATATGATTGTAATTTACTTATTTTCTTATTGCAGTAAAGTGTAATAAAATTCACCATTTTAACCATTTTTAAGTGTGCATATCAGTGTCATGAAGTCCATTCATGTTGTTGCACAATCATCCTGACCACCCGTCTCCAGAGCATCATCCCAAACTGAAACTCTGCATCATGAAACATTAAGTCAACCACTGTTCTACTTTCTCTATGAGTTTGGCTGCTCTAGATATTTCATGTAAGTTGAATAGTACGATATTTATCCTTTTGTGCAATTTACTTTTTAGATACACATTATGCTTCCTCACGTTCAGCCATGTTGATGCATATGATTGTAGCTCTATATTTTTACTTCCAAATAGTAATTCATTAATTTATTT